ACATTAGCTAGAAACTTATTAGTACATGGTGCATTTCTCGAATAGTTTGTTACTTTCTCTTATACAGTATATAAAGAGGTCGGGGGAGTATTTGTATCGTGCAAAAAAAGTTTGTCAAATCTCGATGTTTTACAACTTCCTGAGTGGGAAAACCTCAATTTTAAATCGTGTCTCTATGTCTGCCTAACTGTGTATGTAAGAGTTTGTGTATTTGTCTGTATGTATGTGTGTCTGTATGTGAACACGGTAACTTAAGTAAGCCTACCGTTTAGGTTAGGTGAGCGTAGTTCGGTACTTATAAATTAGATTCTTTTTTTTCTTTTATTATCAGCTTTGAGCAAAAAATCTCTATATATAATTCTCTATGTGGGACCATGCGGGACACCACCACCAAGTACGCACGCGGACGCACTCCCTGACTTGCTCTCCAGACATGCGCAACAGACCATATCGCTCGCACCCGCACCCCACCAGTCTGGTGAGTTGTGGTTCATGTCGAATGTTTACAATCGTAGAGCCAGTTTGCATTCAATATGTACAGTGACGCGGTAAGATATGGATAGTAAGTTTGCATAAGGGACATTAATCTCAGTAACGTATGTTAAGATTACCAGACCTAAGGCAGTAGGATAGAATAAAGGGCCTCAAGTTAATTACTTTTCATTTCTATTTTAGGTATCAGGGGCAGGTTCACATATGGCAACAATTACCCAGAGGCGTAGCGACCCTTCCCGGCGCCCGGGGACAAGCTTTTCGATTTGCACACCCCCTCAAGATTTCGATTTGCACCCCCCCCCTCAAACTTTCGATTTGCATCCCCCTCGACCTTTCAATTTATTTTTCCAACTCATTTTGGCGCCCCCTAAGGTCGGCGCCCGGGGACATATGTCTCCCCTTCGCCCCCCCCCCCCCCCCCCCCTCGCTACGCTACTGCAATTACCCTAACTAACAACTACCCAAATTAAAAATTACCCTAACCCTAACTACGCAGTCATGTAGTATAGTGCATTGAATGAATGTACTGCACAATACTGAATATGTATAAAGGCGGTATAGTTAAAACCCGCCCTAACTAACCCTGTAGCTGTCTTATTTCTTGTTTACTCTAAATACCATACAGTGAATAACACAGAGTTGAATTGGACATTTGTTTAGATTCGACAACGTAGTTTATTTGATTGATATGCAACGTTTCTGAAACAGACAAGTGATTTTTAAATCAATCTAGTAATTAATTTTCTAAGTTTGCAAAAAGCTAAAAGTCCAGTCGTTGTTGGCAAAGGGATTTAATAGCTCAAACCTGAAACTTCCTCGTGTCCAATAAAGACTATGACAACTACAACTTTCACATACCCAGCTAAAGTTAGCAAGGCTTCAATCAAATAAGTAGTTAAATATTTAAATAACAAACTTTAACTTAATAAAAAAGCGGGAGTGATCTCCCCTAAATTTTCTCGAATATTCGTATATAACAGTAAGGGGATGGCAACTCGGGATTTAGGCATCATTTTAATCCATTTTTAATTACTTAAACTTTTTAAAATAGAATAGAATCTCGCAGAAAAAAAATGAATTGCGCACCTAGTAAATGAAAAACAATATCTGTATAATAGTGCGGAATATTAGTACTTTATAAATTCATATTAGTTTTTTGAGAAACCGGAATTAGAGTAAATTACTACTTCCGGTCAACGGAAATTACTCAAAATTTGAAAGAAGGTGGAGACTTAGATCTTTTGCTTCCATGTGAAATTTCATTTATCTATCTGAAATCGTACTAAAGTTATAGACTTTTGAAAAATTGAAAGTAGAAACTCCCACTTCCAGTTACCAGGAGTTGCTGAAAAGCTGATACATAACTACAAATTTGATAATATACTTATATACGAAATTTCATCAACCTAGCTGGTTTACAGATCCACATACACACACATACACACACACAGAGACATACGGACATAATTGCAAAACCCAGTTTTTCCGACTCGGTTACGCATAAAACGCCTAAATTTCGATAAATCTGGATTTATTTATTTTGCCTGATTAAAATAAGTCCCCTATACTTAGTATATGATAAAGTACTGATGTGTAAAACTGTGAAAACTGTAAAAAC